TTATACTCATATTCTGAAAAATTCATTCGAATCACTTCATCTCAATGATCAATTACGTTATCAGCAGACAAGTGCTCATTGAAGTGCATCTGGCTCAGAATCCAGTTCACCGACTTGTTCAGAATTGTTCAATGTGATGAGGTTTGTGAATAAAATCGCTCAATTATAAGTGAAATTTCCTCCTCGAATGGAAGCTTCGTGAACGGTTCGACAAATCTGACTTACTAGAGCGTTTCCCGTATTGTTATTATGGATTATTGCTCAACACAATTGGACAACTATATAAAGGTAGATGTTTTTATGGGTTTAAGGTGGATTTTGATTCTTCGAATCGAATGATTCCAGAGTCAGTCTAGAATGTTCATGTCCAGAATGCCGAGCACGTGAATGCTCTCAATTTTAAAAACATGCTCATGCACATGTCTTTAAAATTGACAGTATTCACGTGCTTGGCTATCATCGGTGCGTTTTTCAACAGATTGATGCAGATAATGGTATTTATTACGTTATGAAATAGACTAGTTGTTTTGAAATCCACACTTATTTCGTCATGCACATTGTGCACTGTAGTATTACACATAGTGTTAGTACACTTACAGTTCAATGAAAAATGAACGAAGTTATGTGAACATTTACGAAAGAATTCATTACAAATGAGATGAATTAATTAATGATCCATTGGAATGACTTGTTATTCAAGTCTTAATTGCACACAGTCATTCATGATGAGAACATGCCATCAACCTTCTCTTTTCGCATTATTTAGTGTTTATGGCGAAATCGACATTACTGATCTCTTAGGTTATCACTTTGAATTTTTGAACGTTTTCTGATTTCAGTTTGAAGCGTTTTTTGCCGACTCGTTCAAGTTTCCGTAATTGGTGTTCAGATGAATGCAGTATGAAGAGGTAATGGACATTCTGATGACTCTATCAAATGGAACGGAACACGAAACAAACAAAATATCCTGCATGCGATGCGAACATCTGCACAACAGATCTTCATAAATCGCTTAAACATTCTAATTTACAATTCGACATCGACAGTGTCACTGGGTTAAGCTNAATGACATTTGATAGAGTGCCGTGCATCAGGATGGCGATACGAATGTACATGTAGTTTCTTGATGGAAATTTGCTCGGATTCGATTTGAATTGTCTAGTTCGAGGCATTTTCGATCGGAATCGATTTTGGACGGAAGAACCAACTGAAGAAATAAGTTGATACCCTAAGTGAATATGACGCTCGCAGTTTGGAATTAAATGGATCATTGCTTCGATTGTTTTGCGGTGATTCGGTTATTTGAACTTGTGGCACGCTGAGTTGAGTGCTCGGCTTATCCAAATTTGTCGGAGTCCTCAGGTAAAAGAATGATAAAACATCAAGTTTATTGCGCAGCCGTGGAAATCGATGATATATGTACACTACTATAAATGTTTTGAGACCAACAACCAGTCCTGGAAATACATCATGTTATGAAATGAAGTAAATGCCTTGTTTGAGTGCAGAATATATTGGAGTGGAAAATGATGCTGAAAGAATGCGAAAACTTCGATGCGGACAATTTCAAGAGATGGGAGATTTAATCTCAGAATCAGCAACTTCACAATTAGCTGTGGAAGGCCACTGGAATACTGAAATAGAGCAAAACGAAAATACAATTGCAGTTAATCAAAAGGTGGAAATCGTCTGAAGGAGGGATGAGCTGAGAACGTTTAGTGGTGTTTCAGATGCCCATACCAGCATTCAGATATAATAAGATTATTTACGGTATTGTAGAATAGTGAAAATTTTGAATCTTCCAAAGCGAGAGGAGAAACTTACCAATAATAAGAAGACACGTGCTCGTGCAGCATATAAGTGACATTGTGAAGAAGAATCCTACAAAGATGCAGAACTGTTTGGTCGTCTCGGGTCGCTTCCACATGAACAAACTGAACATTAGGAGAAATTTCAGTAAATTCGAGTCAATGAACAAACATGGAATAGGCAAATTTTTAGTTCTTTTCACTAAAATTGATAATTACGATGCTTGGTGAATGTGTGAGTTAACGAAATGTCGGTGTTAAGTTCCCACTTATACACACACAATTCGGCATTCTAACTGT